ATATATTTTGTTAGCTAGATTTAACAAATACTCTGTAACACCCCAGGAAGCCGAACAGGCCCCTGGTTCCATAGCAACTCTGACACCAGATACATTTACGATCGAAAGGAATGTGAGCAGAGAGGCTCTCACTGCATTTTCCAGAGCACGAGGCACAATGCACTTTAGAAATTTCCTTTTCTACTAAGTAATTTATAGGAAAACCTTTCTTTGAATGAACAGTGTATCCTTCAGGTCATTGTGTACTGTATATTATTGTCATCGTGTATTTTTTTCTTTGAGAATTGATACATTAGGTATCATTTTCACCTTTTTACAAAGGTGTGTTTAAACTAAGAATCAGATTTTTCCCTCAGGTATAGATCTGCTGAATATGCAAATGGTTCTATAACTTCATATTCCTTATTTCTCTTCTCTGTACTGAGTTAAGCTTTAACCCTTTCCTATACCAACTGTATGTGTGTGTATGTGTATGTTAGACCAGTTTATGTGTTTATGTAGTATGTTAGACTAGTTTAAGTGTTTATGTAGTTAATAAAACCTTACTTGTATCACACTTGACGTGGTTCATTGTTTGCTCATAACTGGAGTCACTTAATCATGCAGATTTATGCTACAAGCTTTTGTAGAATTGTAGAATAAGGAAGTTATTTCCCTTAACCAGGAAATTAACGTTCTTAGAATTGACAAGACAGTTGACCCTGAGAGGTCAGCTAAATATCTACAGCGGATCTAAAATATTCATAATTAATTATTTATAATTATTCATATTTCCCATGAGCTGATTCGTTACATTGACCAGGGTTGAATAGCACTGCTCTTAACCACTAGATACTGAAATAACTTCCACTGTACCGTCTGATCACACAGCAAAAAATACTTCCTCAGTATTTTTGTCTTATTTGCCAGGCTAAATGTCTGGTTTCTTAAATCAAGATACATTTACTGGAGAACCAAAATTACTTTGGTACTCCAAGAAGTCTTGTTTTCTAAGAAATTTATCACAATTAAGTGAGTTTATCATTTAAAAATAACAAATACCTGCCAGTGGACTCATAAAAATCAACTTAATTCAAAGGGAAAACAGGTTTTCATTCCCCATTGACAGATATTTGTACTTGTTTTAAACAAGAACTCTTATTTTTTTAATTCTCAGAAAACAAGACTTTGTCTTCATTATAAATCTCAAGTAAATGTCTTGATTAAAGGATATTTGTATTGGAAAACAAAGACACAAATACTGAGGAAGATATATATTTTTTTAACATTTAATGCCATGACCTCTGATTTAAGACCTTTATGGCCTTAATTTGTGAAAGGTCGAATTAAGACTTTTTAAGACCTTTAGAAATTATGGAAAGGCCCCAAAAAAGCTGAAATCTGTCAAATCAACCACTCGGACATAAACATTCTACAGTTGAAGACGTTCCCAAGAATGATTTCTAAGAAATTAGGCCATTATGAAAGCAGCTCTAGGCGCTCCCTGACACAGAATGCTCCTTATTTGTCAGAGTTTACATGTACAGGGTTTACATCAGGTGTGTAAAATAGCTTCCAAACTTGATTGATTTTCGGAAAAAGTTTCATCACTCCAAACATTTGTGTATGCTTCGTCCAACTGTTTACAGTACGAGTGCGGAAAGAGATTATGAGCAGAAGCATCCAGACACTGGACACAATCAACACAAACATGACAGAGAGAAACACAAAGCATTTATTCCAGTGACGACAGCACTACCAGTAAAGGTCAAATGACTGAAATACAGAATCTGCAATATATAAAACCACAGAGAAGAAATGCAGACAGAACTCAGGCTGTCCTTGCAATAAGATGACTCACAATGCCATATTATTCATAATTGTCATTACATTTTTATTCATAATCAATCAAATACACACAAAACATAAGTTTTGATTATAGAAAAACATTCTTAAAAACTACAAGTTATAGAACAAAAGATTATTTATTATTAAAAAAAAATATGGCTAGCAATTTAAGACAAAGTGAACATTTCCGAATAAAATAGGCTACATCACATGGTCTGGACTTGGATTACGTAAGTAACACATTTATACATGGAAGCTTTCATGTAATCCAAAGTCTTTAGTGTGTTTATGACATGGAAAAACAGCAGCAGCTAGAAAGATATCAGTAAACACATAATGAAGAATCATTTGGCAAACGATCACAGAGAGCTTTCTTTTGGTCCAGAAGCAGATCTGACTGCTAGTAATTTAAAAGTCAAATCCTCATTAAACCATTGCCTCTTTATGATGAATCGCTTGCTGTACTCCTCAATTGTAAGTCGCTTTGGATAAAAGCGTCTGCTAAATGAATAAATGTAAATATTTGAAGCAGTTTCAATACACCAATACCAGTGGAGCTTATTGATATTTTTTCAAGGTATGATATCAAATGTTAGATATTCCAGTATCGTGACAACACAAGAACATATCAGACAGAAATTAGAGATCATTAATGACCCATAAATGAGATTCATTGGTTCATTTCAGAAAATAAGGTTCATTACATAGTGTCTGCTCTCAAATCAATCAATCAATCATTAATCAAATGGGATGAACACTAGAGAATGAGTGGTTGTTTAAAGCACAAACTCTATAAATCATAGAAGTCTAGATGTGCTCCCGAGGGGTATTTGTTCTCCAGCAGGACCTTGATGAGTTTGTTGATGGACTGGTCACAGGTGAGCAGCTGACCCTGAGCGTGCATGATGCTGAACGAGTTCCTCAGAGCGTCGTCTGCAGAGCTGCTCCTCGCCTGCAGCTGCATGTCTGTGTCCAGAGGCCCTGCGGGATGCCACAATCCCACCATTAATGCACTTCAGCACATCACAGGATGAGCAAATATACTTGCGAGAGTAAAAGACAGGTGCTATAAAAGAGCTGAAATATTAGGAATCATTGTAGGCCTGCCAATGACATGAGTTTGTATCATAACTGAACAGTGCCACCTCTGTGTAACAAGCCCATGATGCATGTAAGATTGCAGTCAAACAGTTCATGAGTTTACACCAATCAAAACCAAAGCCTTTTCACAGTCACTAGGGTTGGGCGATGTCTACAAAATGGGCATCGGACGATGTCTACAGTGAAACTTCGCGATGGACGATGACATCGGCGGGGGCGGGGGTGTGCCCGAAGCGTGAATCCTTATAAGGCACGGAAAACAAATAACGATTCCTAACACTGTGTCTACACCGCGCGGCACGACAAAATACAATAGAACCACTGATCTATAATAGAGATTCATTATATATAGATCAGTGTATAGAACTTATTATAATCAGTGATGCTGTCTACACTGGATGCGGTGCAGCGCGACAAGACAAATCCCCAACAGTAAACTGCTGCCACGTTCTATTTATGACGTGCTATCACAAATTTCAAATGATTTTCAAGGGTCACTTTGTCGTGTCCAGTGTAGATAGACTTTAGCTGATGCGGTGCCGCGCGACACGTCGACTGTCGCGTCTGGTGTAGACGCGGTGTAACGGTTGCCTGTTACATTACAGTACATACAATTTCACTTACCACATAAACAGAGTGTAGGATATCAGACCGAATCAGACAATCTAAGATTTGGTCAAAACCGAGTTGGATCCGCCGTAAAACAGTGATTCTGTCCTAATTCCCTTGCATATCAATGGTGGAGTTCCCTTTAAAATCTTAAATGATTCCCTTTGAGCTAAATTAAAATTATCACTGTTTACCTTACAAGAGTAAGGACAGATGACTGAGGACGATGGCAAATGATTTGCAGATCCTGAGCACCACTGACAAACATCTAATCTTGTAAAATGTGTGGTAAGTACTGCTGCTCCATAGTATAAACCGAGTACGTGCTATCTTGAATCTCGAAAGTGAAACTAAACAGCGATCGTGCATTCTAAAGCAGTTTCAATGCCAGGTATAATAGCGGCTCCCTGATGCCCGAAATGTATGTAGTATAATTACCCAATGATATACTGAGAGGAAAAACATTGAAATATATACTTTCCTCCCATCTCGTATTTATTCCCTTTAGGGGTTCCGTACACACGTCATTTTCTTTCTGAATACGGTATTGGAATGGGTCGGATTGCAGGGGGTATGGGGGGGGGGGGTGTCCTTACATTTTACCCATCAGATGGGTACCCTGTCCTAGGGTTTACTGCGCATGCGCACATCAATATTGCGTCCTTTTACTCATGCTGAACAACAATATTTAATGTTTCTGCATTACTGTAGGTTTAGGGTTGGGGTAGGTGTAGACTTTAATAAAACACAATCTAATAGGTAGAAAAAAACATTTATTGTTGGTTTCCTGTAGCTGTATCCCTTCTAGCTACAACCGCAAATATAACACCTAATTACTGTATTTGCATTACTGTAAGAGTAGGTTTAGGGTTGTGGTAGGCGTAGCCATTAATAAACCATAATTTTACAGGTAGCATTTTTAGTTGTCGAATTGTACTACCCACTGTTTTAATGGGAAGTAGCAAAATCTGACGGGGTAGCACAAATCGACAGAACACCGGCTCAACATCGTGATGTCTATCAGCCATCGGCACGCAGCTTCAAGTCGAATGAACGAACAAACACGTGCACGTATTTGCATCGCTTTGATTGTTCTCACCTTCTCACACGCAACGCACCCCGATTGGTCGATTATGCACAATACCTGCATGTTATTGGTCAAACTACTTTGGATGTTTTAGGCAATATAAAAATCCTGGCCAGGACGTGTCCCGTATAAATGGCACATATGGCCACCCTACTGTCTGGTCATCATACCTGGCGCATAGTTCAGGACTCTGAGATCCGGTTCTTCCTCTGCCAGCACTCGGAACATCATGTCCCGGGCCGCTTTCCCGCTGCAGTACAGAACCCAGGATGGGAAGGGCTGGAGTGCGGACAGCGAGCTGACATTGACGATGACACGCGTCAGGCCAGTGCGCTGTGGGAACATGCGCAGAACTCCCGCGGTCAGACAGAGCGCAGAGCTCACATTCAGCGACAGGTACGAGTTCACCTCATCCACATCCGTGAAATCATGACAGTACCGCGACACATCCCCGAGAGAAGCTGCGTTCACAGGACACAAGACACACTCACCTCATATTACAGCATGATAAAAAGTGACTGTTCACCCAAAAATGAACATTTGCTGTTAATTTACTCACCCTCAGATCATCCGAGATGTAGATGACTTTTTTTCTTCTTCAGTAGAACAGTAAAGAAAATGTTTAGCTGAAATTGTGGTCCTTGGTGATTCATAAAATGCAAGTCAATAGCTACTGGCCCTTTAAGCATATCAGGCAACACAAAATTAATACCCGTGGCTTCTGACGATATACTGAGGTATGTGCAAGAAACTGAATATTATTTACAACATTATTACCTGTAATACAGAGCCTCAGGCAAACAGTACAGAGTGATGTACGGTTCACAAACAAATAATTATTTTGAACCGGGTAATTTTTGTGAACTAGTTGAACCAGTTCACCAAATCGGACTTACTCGATCAAAACTTTCAGATGTGCCTGACAGTCACCCTGACTGGAAATGAGCCAAAATACTGGAGTATGTGAGTCCTGCAAGTCACCTATAGGTGATAAAGACCCGCAAATCTGTGGCCACAGAACAACAAAATATGAACGCAATCAGCAGGGGCGCCGCTAGCAATTTTGGGCCCTATGAAAGAATATGAGGTTGGGGCCCCTATGCCGCACCAAACATACACTATATTGCCCAAAGTATTGGGAAAACTCAATAAAACTCATCGCCAAACACCAATGACTTGTACATATGCGTACAATCATTTTAGACACTTCCAAAACTGTGGCAAAAAAGATAGAAATACAATTTTTAAATACATACATGTTCTAAAGAAGGGGGTGTCCCAATACATTTGTCCATATGTATGTACAAGTCACAGGTGTTTGGTGATGAGTTTTTGGCTCAAGGTCTGCATTTAAAGTCACACCAGAGGTGTTCAGCTGGGATTAGGACTGTGGCTTTCTGCAGACCAGTCAAGTTCTTCCACACTGACTGAATCAATCTTTTTTCTTAACCTTGCCTTATACACAGAGGCATTGTCGTGCTAGAATAGAAAAGGGTCCTGTTCAAACTATTGGTATAAAATTAGAAGCACACAATTCCCTAGAATAGCATGATATGCTTTAACATTAAGATTTGTACTCATTGAAATTACTAAAGTAGTCAAACCTGTTCATTAGAAGGGGGTGTCCCAATACTTTTGGCAATATAGTGTACAAGCCAGCCTAGCTATTCAAAATCTGTCTGCAATTTAATAATATAGACCTATTACTTTTGCTATTGCTTTTGACCATTAGGTATCAGTAACATAATTCATTCAGAACCGGTTTTATGGACATAGACTTTCTGTACCACACTATTCTGCTGATATGGAATGAGTTTGAATAATTAATCAGTTATATTAATAGAAATGCTTCACTGGGGCGAACAAAAAAAATCCTAAAATAATAAATAGGATACCTCATAACACCAGCATTTCCAGCAGTATCCAACATTTCTCAATCATGATCTGATCATGATTTCTATATCATTGCTCTTTTGTTGATTTTGATTGCGTCCATTGTCCTGTAAGTCGCTTAATTTGGATAAAAATGAATGCTAAATGACTAAAATGTAAATGATCTTACTCAGCTAAATGTGACTATTAGCTTA